TTTTTTTTTTTTTTTTTTTCATTTTCAGTTTAATTTTAGTTAAAGTCTTAGTACTTTTTTGTGTATTTTTGTCATTTTTATTATTATTGTTATTATTATTTTGATTTATTTATTTTAATATGTCTATATAGGTTTTATACATTTTTATTTCAGTTTTAGTTATTTTAGACTGTAAACTAAAGGAAAATGAGAAATGTTGCCTTGGACACTAAATATTTTTTTTTTAAAGAATTTATACATTTTATTTCAGTTAATGTTTATTTTATTTCAAATAACAAAAATAAATGGTTTTAGTTTTAGTTAACTATAATAACCACACATAATCTAGCATGCAACCATGATATTTTCATGCTATATATACTATACTACAGAAAAGCATGGTAATACCATGGTACCTTTCAGTAATTGTGGCCTAAACGATGTGACGGTCAGATAATGATGGCTGATGGGAGGTTGAGTAAATACATAAATGACGACACTCACTGGTTCTCCTTTGGCACCTTGCTCTCCCTTCACGCCTTGGTCTCCCGCCGCCCCCTCCATGCCTTTAGCACCTGCTGGTCCTCCGTCGCCCGGTAAACCCATCTCGCCCTGCAGAGGTCAAAGGTCAAGGGTGCAAAGTAATGCGTATTGCATACTGTAGTATATACTGTGTGTGCTGCACATGTAGTCATATATAATACATTATCAAAGTAATACTAAGAAACCAAAGGAAGAATTTGAGGTTTTTGACCTTTGACCCCGCTGGCCCTCTCTCTCCGACGACACCAGGAAGTCCAAGCTCGCCCCGCGGGCCAGGAAGTCCCGCCCTCCCTTCCAGACCGGTATCGCCGCGCTGACCCTGCACACACGCGTCAATCAAAGCAGCAGCCAATCAGAGCTGAGTATAGAATCTAAAACATTGCTCAACACAATTCCCGTAACAACATTTTGCACAAACCATGCATAAGCGTCAGTTCATATTGCGTGAAGAGTAAATGCAAGCTCCAAGCTATAATTTGACATCGGCCGTTAAATGACAGACAAAACACAAACTGAACTGATCGATGGCGTTGCATGTCGGTCAGATGAATTTCCTCACATGCTTTAATGTGCCAAAACCAAAGACAAGGTTTTCATTGTGGAGAATAAACACATAAAAAGAGCCGGAACGAGAATGAACTGATGAATAACAGCGCTGGCTCTGGGATTCGTCTGTAAGAGCTTATGAGTGTAACGTCAAACACAGAGACGGACCGAATGAAACACACGGCTTTAATCGAATGATGTTTACAGAAAGAAACCGTGAGAGAGACACTATAAAATACCACTATAAGACAACACTGGATTCTTTGAAGTTCACTGGAGTACCATGTAAACACTAGGGTTATTAGTGCTCAGTACAACTAAAACTATTAAAAAACATTTTTATTAACCAAATGAAATATAACTATATATATATAACTACATACTGTATAATATATATCATATAGTTTTAGTTAACTAATATATATACTGTATATATATATATATATGAAGAGTTCATTTGCAAAAACCGATAAACGGCACTTTAAAAAAAAAAAGAGCTGATTGCCGTGCATTATTCTCCACATATAGCGCGATCTGAACCCTAAACACGTTTTGTCAAAAAAGCCGGTTTTGTCCACTTTCAAGGCATCGTGAGTTCACGTTTTCCTGCAGAAGCCGACAAGCGCGCGCGTTGTTTTTGAACAGAAGCCGATAAGTCCATTTTAGCGAATC